GACAATACACAATATTTTCATGATTTTTTCAAAAAAAGAATTTTCTAAAATCTCCCAAAAAACCCATATTCTATCTTTATTCCAAGTTTTACATTTTTAAAAATCGAATTTCCCGCGCTTTTCTACCTGGAAATTCAATTTTTCCAAAATTGTCGTAAGATATTGGGTATGCTCCGCAATGTGTACAATACCCAATATCTTACGACAATTCTAAATATTTTGAGTTTCTGGGGTGAAAAAGCATGGCGAACTCAAATTTTCTGGGTCAAAATTTCTTCTTTTCGAATTAAAATCTTCAAAAATCGAATAGTAACTTTTTTGGAAAACATTTTTTGATTTTTGTAAAAAAATTTTCCGAAATCTCCCAAAACTTATATTCCATTTTATTTTCAGCTTTACACGATCGATAATCAAATTTCCTGCGCTTTTCTACCCAAGAATTCAATTTTTTTTTGAGATTGTCGTAAGATGTTGGGTATTGTACGCATTGCGGACAATACCCAATACCTGACGACACTTTTTTAAAAATTTGAGTTCCCGGGGTGAAAAAGCATGAGGAATTCGAATTTATAGTTAAAAACCGTCTATTTTAAGATCAAGTCTTCAAAAATTGTATTTGAGAATTTCGAAAAAAAAGTTGTTTTTTTCAAAAATCTTTTTTTCAACTTTTTTTTCTCAAATTGCTCAGTTTTTCAGGTATGCAGCCTCTTCAAATTTTCCTGCTAATCCTCCTTCCTCTCACAACATTCCAACTAGAATGTTTCACCTGTGGGGTCTTTCTCTCGGCTCCAGACCCAATGTGCCGGGGAGAGATTCGCAACAATTCGTGTGCTCCTGAGAATTTGGGATGTCTTTCGATAATTGGACACAAATCTGTAAGTCCCAAAATCTCGAAAAATAGAAATTATTTTCAAATTTTTTAAAAATTTAAATTTTCAAAAAAACATTTCAGGACGGAACCTACTATGTCGAAAAACGATGCGCCGAAAAGACCGACGATCTCACTGACGGATGTATAAGTGTTGGAATTCGAGGGTAACCCCCAAATTGCTCAGCTTATTTTTTTTAATTTTTCAGAATCGCCGCCAAACAATGTCTCTGTCAGGAAAACTTGTGCAACTCTAGTAGCCAGAAGACCTTCATCACTGGATTAGGCATTATTTTGTCTCTATCTTTCGCCATTTTTAAGAATTTTTTAATCTAAATTTCTATTTTTTATTTTTTGGAAAATCTTTATGAAATTTCTGCTGTACGGTTTTGGGAATTATATAATAAAAATTAGATTTTCATCGATTTTTTGGTCTGAAATCCAATTGTTTTCGAAATTCTCCAATTTTCAGCTCTTTTTCAGCCTTTTACAGCCCAACAAGTTTCGCAATTTTCCATTTACGGCGTTGCGCGTCGGCTTTGACGCACTCTACGCAATGCGCCGTGTTTGCGGACTTTTATTTTTTCTCACCCATTTTTTACCCATTTTGCACCCATTTTCTTCCTATTTTCGGGGAGAAATCCATGAAAATCTTGGAATTTTTTTAAAAAATTTTGTCGCAGAATATTTTTTATCAATGTTTTCAAATTTTCAAGTGTCGGTTATCAGTAAAATTCGTAGAGACATGTTTTTTCGAAATTTTTTGTGTCAACGAAAAATAATTTTTTTCGGATTATTTGAAACGTCGGCATCGTGTGGAATGGAAGATTTGTGACTCTGGAAATCCTGTGAAACTGAAAAAATCCGAAAATTTGGAAAAAATAATTTTTTTCTGAAAGAATATTTTTTAATTGATAATGCAATTTTCATTGAAAATGTGCTGTTTTCTGCTGGAAATTCTTTTTTTGCCATCAAAATTCGATATTTTCAGATTTAATCCCCTAAAAACCCTTTTTAAAAAGTCATTTTGCCCGAAACAAAAAATTAAAAAAGGTCAAAATCCCACGGAAAATCACCGATAAAGAACAAATCGTATACGAAAAAAAGTCGTTTTTTTGCAGCCAACACACAGAGACGTCACATCGGCGCGCTTCGTGTCAATGTGTCTGACGCCGCTGGCCAGGTCTTCCCCATCAGACCATTCCTCTCGCTTATCAGTGACTATTTTCTGTGACTTTTGATAAATTCAATAAATTTTGTTCAGTGAAAAATTTGAAATTTTGGCTTTGAAATTCTTAAAATTCCCTTCAAAAGTTCTGAAAATCCAAAATTTTTGAAAAATTGAAAAAAAAACGAAAATTATACCTTTTTGCCCTATTAAGCTCCTAAAAACACCTTATATTTTGTCTGGAAAAAATCCGAAATTCTGAATTTCTAGCTCAAAAAATTCCAAAGTTTTCCAATCATTTACTAAAAAATGCTAAATTTCCAGCCCAAAAAATTCAAATTTCCCCCGTTTTTTTTGCTGTTTTAAGTCAAAATTTATATTTGGGAACCCCAAAAATAGAAAATTCTAGAAAAATTCCCATATCCACAAGTTTCCCACAAATCCCACTCAGACAGTCCATCATCCTCTTTTCTCCTCTTTATCTCTGCGTCTCTTCTCCTCCCACACTCTCTCGTCTCCTCGCCGCCGCCACCGCCAATCGGACCGCCCATCTTATCATTCTCCTCCTCTCGTCTCAATCGGCCATTCCAACTTCTCCTGCTGCTGTTCACATGATTTTCTTATGATTATTTTTTTATTAAAAAAAATAGTTTTTTGTTATTTTTTACACTGAAAAACAACCATCATTTGACCTGCATAACACTGTTTTTAATATTTTTTGTGTTGCAATTGTTTGTCTAAATACCGCCCAATTTATGTCTATAAAAGACAAAAAACCATTATTCAAAAAGTTTAAATACACAGGGTACAAAAAAAAATGGCATCATCAGTGGCGACGAAATTCTTGACGGATCGTGTGGCGTTGGTCACCGCCTCGACGAAGGTTTGTGAAGTTTTAGGATGAATTTAAGCTGAAATTTCAAAAAAAGAAATTCGAGAAAAAATAGGCTAAAGTTGCTAATTTAGCCTTAAAAATTGAGCTAAAACTCATTTTGCTAGGGGAAAACAAATGCGATTTTAGGCGTGAAATTCGGATTTATAGCGGAAAAAATCGACTAAAAATGTAAAATCCAGGGTTTTTTTCTGCTTTTCCAGCGGTTTTTAAGCTGGAATAGTGCTAAAAATCGCCGAAAATTCGAATTTTGGCCTAAAATTTCGAGTTTTGAGCCGAAAATTCCTATTTTTATGCTTGATGAATTGAAATGACCATATTTTTCGGTCATAAACAGCATTTTTAGTCCAAAAAAAAAGGAAATTTTTAGTGGAAAAAAAAACTAGATAAAAATTGCGAAAAATCGGGAAATTTTCAAGTGAAAATTTGCATTTTTTGTCCTAAAATCGATTTTTCAGGCGAAAATTCGCAATTTTTCAGAACTAAAAATGTAAAAATATAGAAATTTTTGTTGAAAGTACGAGGAAATCGCTGAAAATTCTCGATTTTTTGTCCTACAAAGCGATTTTTGAGCTGAAAATTCGATATTTTTCAGTAAAAATTGCCGAAAATTGGAAAAAATAATCAATTTTTTAGCTTTTTTGCCTATATTTTTTCAGTTTTTATAAGAAGTTTTCTGGAAATTTTTCGAAAAATATGATGTTTTCCCCAATTTTTTTTCCAAAATTTCAACTATCTTTGCCTCTTCTAGTTCTTAAATCGAAAAAAAAAGATGTTTAATTATTTTTTACTCTTTTCTATACGAAAAAACCACCACAAAACACATTCATTTAGCTGTCTGACCAGTATTTTATCATTTATTTTCGCTTTTTGTTTTTCCAGGGAATCGGCTTCGCCATTGCCAAACAACTTGGCGCCGCCGGCGCTTCTGTCGTCGTTTGCAGTCGAAAGGAGAAGAATGTGGATGTGAGTTGGGGGAAATTTCGAGAAAAAAATAGGGATTTTTAGATGGAAAAATCGGGAAACTTCTGGAAATTTCTCAAAAATTCCATCGAATTTGGTTGAAAAATCACTGAAAATGAAGGATTTAGAGCTATTTTTTACCGAAATTTCTCAAAAATCATCGATTTTTCTCTTGAAATTTTGCAATTTTTCAACTTAAGAAAGTAGAAAAATTGATATATTTTCATTAAAATTCAACTAATTTCAGCCAATTTCAAAGCTGAAAATTTGGGGAAAAATCGCTGAAAATCCATAACTTTCAACCGTTTTTCACAAAAAAAAAACATCAATTTTAGGTCAAAATGAGTAATAAAGCTAGATTTGGAAATTTTTCAAAATTTTGGGTCCCATCATGAAAATATAAAAAGTACTGTATCTCGACTAATTTTGCTCCGAATTTTTGAAAATTATACATTTGGAATCGCCTTGTTATGGGCTTCAAAATGAGTATAAACACGGCTAGATTTGGACATTTTTTCGTATTACTGTACTTTTCCACTCGAGACCCAAAATTGTGAATTTTTAATAATACATCTAAATTCCACTCCCCAAGAGCTTCAAAATGAGTATAAACACGACTAGTTTCTGAGAATTTCGAAAAATTCAAATTTTTAAGGATTACTGTACTTTTCCACTCGAGACCCCCAAAAATTTCAAGTACTGTATCTCGACTAATTTTGCTCCGAATTTTTGAAAATTATACATTTGGAATCGCCTTGTTATGGGCTTCAAAATGAGTATAAACACAACTAGATTCGTATCATTTTGAAATTTTGGGTCCCACCACGAAAACGTAAAAAGTACTGTATCTCGGCTGATTCTGCTCCGATTTCTGTGAAAATTATACTGTTAGAACTGTCTTGTTATGAGCTTCAAAATAATTATAAACACGGCTAGGTTTGAAAAGTTTTGAAAATTTGGGTCCCACCACGAAGTGATAAAAAGTACTGTATCTCGGTTAGTTTTGCTCCAAAATTGTTGTTTCGTATTTTCTTTCTTTTTTCCAGAATTTTCTCATATGACTGAACACAAGTTTTTTTTCTAAAAATGTTGTAAATCAAAATATTTATGATTTTCTGGAAAAATTGAAACCAAAAACAGTTCAGAAACCGGAAAATATGTTTTTTTCCTAAAACGATTTTTCATAGATCCATTTTTGCAAAAATTTGAAAACTATTTGTGTCTCTTAACAATTTGACCTCATGTCCCTTTAAACAAAACAAGTAAGATATCACATGTAGACTTATTGATATGAGTAATCAGTGTTAATTAGGCGGTAATTAGAGGGAATACCAGAGATCAAAATGTTTCGAATTTTCTGGAAATTAAAAATCATGTTTTCAGTTGTATAGTTTTCACGAAATTCAGTCGAGATACAGTACTTTTTATCTTTTCGTGGTGGGACCCAAATTTTCAAAAATTCTTAAACCTAGCCATGTTTATACTCATTTTGAATCTCACATCAAGACAAACCTATCTGAATGATTTTCATAAAATTTGGAGCAAATTTAGTCGAGATAAGGTAGCTTTTAGCTTTTCGTGGTGGGACCCAAAATTTTCGATCCTAGCCGTTTTTATACTTATTTTGTAACTCGTAAAAAAACAGATCGAACAGTATAATTTTTACGGAATTTGGGCTCATATTAGCCGAGATACCGTAGTTTTTAGCTTTTCGTGGTGGGACCCAAAATTTCAAAATTTTTCGAACCTGGCCTTGTTTATACTCATTCTGAAGCTCACAACAAAACAGTTCAAACGGTATAACTTTCATAAAATTTGGATCGAAATTAGCCGAATTACAGTACTTCTTATCTTTTCGTGGTGAGACCCGAAATTTCAAATTTTTTCAAAGCTAGCCTTGTTTATACTCATTTTGTAGCTCAAAACAAAACAAACCGATCTGTATATTTTTCATAAAATTTGGGCTGTATTTTGCCGATATATAGTACTATTTGTCTACCCAAATTTTCAAAAATTCTTAAACCTAGCCGTGTTTAAACTCATTTTGAAGCTCACATCAAGACAAACCTATCTGTATGATTTTCATAAAATTTGGAGCAAATTTAGTCGAGATAAGGTAGCTTTTGTCTCTTCGTGGCGGGACCCAAAATTTCAAAAATGTTCAAATCTATCCTAATTTGCCTCCAAATGACCAAAAAAACTCAAAATTTTTCGAAAATTTCCAGGAAGCCGTCGCCGCTCTCCGACTCGAAAACATCGATGCTCACGGCACCACGGCCCACGTCGGCAACAAAGAAGACCGTACGAAACTCATCAATTTCACACTAGACCGGTTCACAAAACTCGACATTCTGGTATCAAATGCCGCCGTAAACCCACATTATGGCGATTTGATGTCGGTGACCGATTCGCAATGGGACAAGATGCTCGATTTGAACGTCAAATCGGCGTTCGAGCTGACAAAAGAAGCCGTTCCACATCTGGAGGCGTCGGGACGGGGCAACGTTGTCTTTGTCTCTTCTGTTGCCGGCTACTCGCCTATGAACGAGATTGGAGCGTACTCGGTGATGAAGACCACGTTGACAGGGCTCAGCAAATCGTTGGCACTGAATTTGGCCAGGCGGAACATTCGTGTCAATACTATTGCGCCAGGTAAAAGCCAAATCCCGGATTTTTGTGGAAAAATTGGCATTTATTGGCCCTTTTGGCTTCAAAACGATACATATTCTATAAAAATGACCGAAATTTAAATTCCCCGCGCTTTTCTACCCGGAAATTCGAATTTTCGGAAATTGTCGTAAGATAATGGGTATTGTCCGCAATGCGATGCGTACAATGCGTACAATACACAACATCTTACGACATTTCTTTCCGATTTTGACTTTTTGGAATTCGACCCAATTGAGTGCTTAAAACGATCGATTTCCGTCTGATTTCAACCTAACTTTTAGCTCTGGGTACGGTAGATATCCCAACTAGATTACGGTAGATCTCGCATCTTTAAAAATACAGATTCTGGCCCATTTTCGCTTTGAAAAATCGATTTTCCAAGGGAATCCCTCTTCGATCTCCACCGCCTTCAGGCGTTTTGATCTTTGTGATAAGAGAATGATAAGATGAAATCAAACGGATAGAGAATCTAGCCGAATGGAATGTCTTGTGATTTTTCGTTTGTGTTGTGTGTTATTTTGCACCCAGTGACCCCAAGAATTCATGATTCTGTTCATGTGAATTGGGTACAGCTGACAGTGGCCTAGGTTTCCGAGATTCTAGGCCACATACATGACTGAGGGTTCCAGCTTCTAACTCTGTGAAGCGTACATGGACAGCTAGCTGAGGTGGCCTAGATTTTCAAGTTCTAACCCGCTTAAATCCAAACTTGGCTCGGTGCCAAAAAGGTTGACTTCTAGGTGGCCTAGGTTTTCGAATTTCTAGGCCACATGCTTGGCTGAACGTTTCGGCTTCTAGCTAGCTTCAAAATTTGCATTCAATGAACTTCAAAAAGGGCTACAAGCCAGTCAGACTGTCGAGGCGGTGAATGAGTTCTAAGCGATCGCTACGAGCGAAGTCGCTACTCAGCTGGCGACCGCGACACGTCCAAACTTGGCTGTCGGTGCCAAAAATATGGTTCCTAGAGTCTATGTGCTCATTGAGCCCCTCTTTTTTGGTCATCCAAACAACAAGCTACCTACAGTTGATCTCCTAAATCAACTGTCAATAAAAATCAAAACTTCAAAAAAATATTTTTTTTGAAAGTTTAACCTTCTTCTCCTCTCTCTCTCTCTTCTTTTGTGCAAAAGCTTTGTTGATATTTGTTTTAAAATAGCAGCAGCAGCAGCCAACCAACCACGAGGCCGTTCTTGCTAAGCTACTCGTGGTGTCTGCTGATGACTTGAGTGTACCTTCTTTTTTTTGTTTCGCGAACTCGAAAAAGACAAAAAGAGAAGGGGAAATGAACCAAGAATCTAGAGTCATGTGATCCAACTGGGTGCATTTGGGGTACTCGCAGGGACAATAATAATATAAGCCAAGGGAGTCGCCTTATATGTTTGGGTTGTCGAAAAACAAAAATTACATTAACTGTAGCGTCCAGAAGGACCTAGAAGGGTCTAGAAAAATCTAGAAGGACCTAGAATCATCTTGAAGGTTCTAGAAGGTTCTAGAGGGTTCTAGAAGGACCTAGAACAGTCTAGAGAGATCTAGAGAGATCTACAAAGACCTGGAAGGATCTAGAAGGATCTAGAAGGTTTTTGAAGGTTCTAGAAGAATCTAGAATGAGCTAGAAAGAGCTAGAAGAGTCTAGAAGGGTCTAGAAGAATCTAGAACAATCTAGGGAGCTCTAGAGAGATCTAGAAGAATCGAGAAGGGTCCAGAACGATCTAGAAGGATCTAGAGGGATC